ATTTTTATGTTAAAATCCATAATAAATATAACATAAAAAATTGAATAATTAATTTTAAATTTTAAGTTTCATATAAAACTTATACTTTCTTTTTAATCTAAAATTTTAAAGAACAAGAAACAAGAAATAGTTACCAAACATGTTTCCGTAAATGGTTATTAAACATAGTATGTTTTTCTTGATTGAAAAAGAAGAAACAAGAAAGAGGAAACAAGAACAATACAAACAAGCGAGCCCCACATGTATTGTTGGGAGTAAAAATATGACTTACCACGTGACGAGATAAGAAATAGATCATCCTGAGTGCTCGGAACATAATACCTTGGAGATAAACAGCACTGAGCTATTAAGCTCATCCTATAGGCAAGGTGAATAGCTCATCTTGGTCATCACTATTGACCTTAATGTTGGAGGGAAAATATGACTTGCACGTGGAGAGTAGAAGAAATGGAAATTACTATATTTGTTTGATGAGAAATGTGAAACGAAAAAACGAAAAAAATCTATAATAATAGGATTCCCATTTAGAATGAAATTATGCTGTCATTCTACATGATTCTTTCCCGTTTACCTCAAAAGTTCCTAGTCGCCGACCTATCGACCTTGGTGAAAGAGGTACCAAATAGCTTGGTCAAAATGGAGATAGCCTTGAAAATGTTAGGCATTGAGGTATCGTGCCCAACCGTCTCTAATCGCGAACTTTCTCAAAGTGTTTGTTCTCTCTAGGAGGTCTTAACTCACATCTAAAATAGCTTGATTCTCTCTCACTTGTATTGTTAGATAATATTATTAGATAATGTTATTAGAATTGTAATTAGATTTGTATTAATTAGGACGATATGGTTTAAGATTAAAATATAGCTTAAGATTAGATTTCCTATTTGAATTATGACGATGGATTGTATTAGTATAAATATGTCTTATGGTTTGTATTTAGAGTAATTTAATTTAATGAAATTTAATTTGTTATTTTCTATTTTGGCATTGTCATTAGTTGTTGGAATTAGCATTGACACTGACATTGATATTGATTTTTAGAATTGGCATTTGACATTGGTGGTTCGAATTTGCTTTGACAGTGACATTTGATATTGACATTAGTTTTTCGAATTTGGCATAAGTATTGGTTGTTGGTTGCCATGCAGTAGTTTCTCGATTTTAGCTTTGGAATTGAGTTTGATTTGATTTAGTTTTAGTTCTCAAATTGAGTTTGTTTTTCTATTTTGGTTTAGACATTAGTTTAGACATTGTTATTTAGTTTTGGAATTGAGTTTGATTTGATTTAGTTTTAGTTCTCAAATTGAGTTTGTTTTTCTATTTTGATTTAGACATTAGTTTAGACATTGTTATTTAGCAATACTATGAATTTGAGAGGGAGGTTAGATAATATTATTTTGAACCATAATTAGATTTAGATTAGGATGTAGTTTAGTTTTTGCGAATTCAATTTAATAAAATCTTATTTTTTATTTTCTCCCCCCCCATAAAATCAAAGAGCCTTGATAAGTAAACACACGCTCTTCAGGTGATCAGATTTCAACATCAACATTTGGCTCCTTTTAGACGGAATAAATATTAGGTATGAAATTGAAAAATGTTTAGATTTAAATTCATTAAAATAGGGCACAAACAAAAGTAAAGAATATTTTTTGTACTTCCCTTTAGCCATGGTCCTAATCAGTTTTATTTTCTACATAATCTTATATGAAAATCTATAGGGAGAGTACAAAAAGTAGAGTATCTGCTAATACATACCAAACATTGCTTCATAATCCATATAAACTTATTGCTCTATGTAGCAATATATATATATAACACCTTATAATAAGGGATGGAAAAAAAAAAAACTTTTCAGTAATTGTGCTGCCTTCCTATTCTTTTATAAAGTAATTTTCAGATCTTGAAAACTAAATTTTTACTCAATATCTTCAAATATGTCAAAACCTTTTTTTTTTGTTTATTAAAATAGCATATTTTTGTAATAATTTTCCAACAAGACATGTGAGATATTGAAGTATTTTTTTTCTTTCTTTCTATTCACATTTGGCATCTTGCTATATTTATTGTCGTAGTTGCACATCGTAGCAATCTAGTCCAAATTAATAACAAATCTAGTACAGGCTAAAAAGATTTGTAAACACGGCTTAAATTTAATTAAACCCAACTCAAATAAGAAAACTTTTGAAATATTGAAAAGGCCGCTAATCATGATATATCTCAAACCCTGCATGGTTATTGGTGACGTAGCTTACGTAAGTTAGTGATGCCTGCCCTATAAAATCTTTTTTCTTGTACTATATTTACAAATATGGCAAAAAGTGTTTGCCACCATTTCAATTCCCATAAATTACTATCTTACATTATATTATTTTTGTAATTATCTTTATGAAAAGACTATTCCAAAACACCCATAGAACAAGTTAAATGAATGAAATATTCATCAAGTACACTGATGTTGAAGATGGACGGCCAAAAACAAAACCAGCTAAAAAGAACAAGTAGAAGAACTGCTAAAATATGAAGGCATCTAAAAAATTGTTAGCTAAAAGATGTCATTAGTGGCTATATAGGCAAACTTCGTTGGCAAAGCAGCTAAGTTTTGATGCCTCTCTTCAGATTTTGCAGAGAAGTCCATGATCACCAAGTTTTATGGAATCAGAATATGTCTAATATGTTTGATTCTTTCTCGCAAACTTGTAGTGTTTTTTGTTCCTTTTTGTTTTGAGGCTTGGGGATTCATTTGATTTGATGGGCTCTTTCTCGTCTTTCCTTTTCTTTTCCTTTCTTTTTTTTTTTTTTTAACTCCCAAGAGAGAATATGATAAAGTTGGGTTAAATCACCAATTTCGTTCTGTTCTAATACGTCGTTTTAAAAGTTTCAATTTGGTTCATTTTAAGAAATTTTTAATTTAGTCTACGACTTTTTTACTCATCCCTAAATTGGTTTTTACTCACTTGAAAACTCACCAAGTTCTTATAATTTTTTAGCCACTGCCCTAAACCCTAACATAGTTCGTCAAATAGAATACAAATTAGAATATAAGTGGGTTTGCACCTTACAGGTTTCTAAGATTTCAATTTTGTGTCTAATAGGTTTGTAAATTAAAAAAAAAATGTTGAATAAGCCAATGACTACTTGATACGAAATTAAAAGTCAAGGGATCTATTAGACCCAGAATCGAAAGTCTCTAGAGACAAACTATCATTGGTGGTTCATTGGTCCAAAGAAGTTAAGATAAATCAAAAGGATTAAAAGGAATAAGTTCAAACTCCATGATGGCCACCTACTTAGAAATTGATTTCCTATGTGTTTCTTTGACAACTAAATATAGTACGGTTAGGCGGTTGTCCCGTAAAATTAATCAAGGTACGCACAAGCTTACCCGGATATACAATAACTCAAACGTGAACCGCCAAACCCAAACCATAGGGAGAAAATTGAAACCTTGAGAGCCATAGAAGAACTGGTTCCAAAAAGTAACCAGGGGAAGAGATGGTATAAATCAGTTTTCCAATTTACTTCTAATATCACTCCCTCAAGAAACCCCTTTTCAACATGGAAAGATCAGTTGATAAAACCCTCAAATTCTTGAAGCATATCTTGTAAATGCTCAATGTTTTTTTGGGGAATGACTCAATCACTATCACTTGATCAATGACTCTGATTGGTCCATTTTGTGACTAAAATATAGATATGTTGAACACTTTATAAAAAGTTAGCTTTCAATGGCTGAGATTGATACCATATGGTTCAGGAATATATGCAACAGCACAATAACTCTATAGCCAAACCGAAGGGCCTCTCTCTACTTGATGCAAAGAAATCTTGAAACTTTAACTTTACCTTTAAGGAGAAGTGAACAATCTTAGTAACAAGACGTTAATGGATGACAACAGTCTCCCATTTTGGAGTACGTTTTTAAAACAACTTAAATCGTGTTTTGGTCCGGAAGAACTTTTAAAAAGTAACTATTTTTATCCCTAAAGACTGTTTGATGTTTTTGTTTCTTGTTTCTTGCTTCCTACTCCCTATTTTTTATTTAGGAAAATAGAATTGCGTTTGACAGATTGTTTCTTGTTTCTAAATCTTTATTTTTTATTGAAAAATAAATAGAGACATGTTTTGTAACCATTTTTTTGTTTCTTGTTCTCTAAAATTTTAAATTAAAAAAAGTTCATTTGAGAATTAAATTTTCAAAATAAAATATTCAAAATTTGTATGTGATTATATTATTTTTTATATTTACTATGCATTTTATAAGTAAAATATTGATAAACTAATGTTTTTATTTATGTATATAAAATAACAAAAGTCAGGATGGCCGAGTGGTCTAAGGCGCCAAACTCAAGTTTTGGTCTTTAAGAGAAGGCGTGGGTTCAAATCATGTTCATAAAAAAATTTTGAAATTTAATAGATAAAATTTATGTTTTAAAAAAAAATTGGATTGGGTCTTTAAGAGAAGGCGTGGGTTCAAATCATGTTCATAAAAAAATTTTGAAATTTAATAGATAAAATTTATGTTTTAAAAAAAAATTGGATTTGGTCTTTTAAGAGAAGGCGTGGGTTCAAATCATGTTCATAAAAAAATTTTGAAATTTAATAGATAAAATTTATGTTTTAAAAAAAAATTGGAAATGGAAACAGGAAGATTTTGATGTTTCCAACATGTTTAGATCATGATGTCTGTTTCTTAACTTTCAAAAAATGACCATTTTGATCATTGTATTATTTTGTACTTAAAATACTCCTTCCCAATTTATGTGGTTTGAATAATATTCTCACATTAACACATTAATATACATCTCGAACCCATTTTTAAAGTTAATAGAAATTTCAAACAGTACTACCGAGACCAAAATAGAATAATCTAAAAATTTCAGGAATCTCGGGTTTCTTTACTTTATAGTACGAAACAAAGAGAGACCAACATTTTATATTATGCTATATTATAAATAAGAGATATGCTTCCAACACATTTCCCACCAAAAACCATTGAATTCTCAAAATCTCCAACCCTTCTTCCATTTTTCTCTCCTAAGCAATGGAAATTGGGTGTGATGAAAAAGTAGGGTTATTGGGAAAAGGGTGGATATGGGTGAAGGGGTTAGTTGGAAAATTGGTGGGGGTTGCAAGAAAGGCAAAAGCTTTGGGAAAAGATGACCCAAGAAGGGTTATTCACTCACTAAAACTAGGGCTTGCTCTCACAATTGTCTCATTGCTTTACTATTACAAGCCACTTTATGCCAACTTTGGAGTTTCAGCAATGTGGGCAGTCATAACTGTTGTTGTTGTCTTTGAATTCTCAGTAGGTATGATGGCTTAGCTTTTTTGGACTTCTTTTTTAGTTTACACTTTATTACAACTTTTGGCTTTTTGACCTCTCTTCTTGTTTGTCTTTTGTTGTCTTTGAATTTTCAGTGGGTGTTTATCACTTTTTACACTTCTTTTTACCCATCATCTAAGAATAAAAGCTTACCCCATCTGCTTCACCTTATCTGGCCAGATTTTAATGGTCACAAAACAGATTTTATTTTCTTGACCTAGTTAGCAGGTAAGTTTTAGCTTTAGACCCATTTTAGACGCAAGAACTACTATTTAGACCTAGTTTGATAACCTTTCCGTTTTTAACTTCATTATAATTCTTAGTCAAATTTCAAACAAAAAGGATAGTTTGAGAACTACGTTGTGGACTTTTTAGAATTTGGCTTAGAATTTGATTTTTTTTTAAATAGATAACAAGACAAAGAAACAAAATGGTGAAAGTAATTTTGATAAGCTTAGTTTTAAAAAACAAAATAACAAATAACGGTTATCAAACTACATCATTTCGAACGTATCCCAAGTTTTATAATGAAGTTTAAAGATGATGAAATATAATAAAAGGTGTATTTTGAAAGTTTTCAACCTTATTGTATAAGGGATTGTGACATGAAACATTAGTTATGAGGCTTGCAATATATTATATCATTCATAATCCTCAGGGGCAACACTGGGAAAAGGATTGAATAGGGCATTGGGAACACTGTTTGCTGGTGCTTTAGGAGCTGTAGCTCATCACTTGGCTGCCTTATCTGGACATGTTGGCCAGCCAATTCTAACCACTATCTTTGTCTTTCTACTAGGTAAACATTTTCTCTCTAACCTACAAATTTTTATTGAAGATTTTGGCTCACTAATCCTTGCATATTTTAGGAGTATAAGAATTAAATCGTTATAAATAAAAGTACGAAGACTTCAATGTTATGAGATTCGAAGCACTAGAATCGGACTCATGGTAACTTTTTTTTATTTTTTTTATTTCAGTTTGGTCTTAGTTTTAAAAGTTTCAATTTGATTTTATGGGTTGGTTGAGTCTCTCAAAACATGCATCCCAATATGGAATGGAAAAGTAAATTCGTAAAGCTAGATCCATAAATCATCTTAAAAAATTTCTCCTTTCTAATGTTATGAATCCCTAAGACATAAACCTACCCCTTTTCTCAAAAATCCATTTTCTTTTTACCCAAAAAAATACCAAATACAATCTGCAGCGTAGCTAATACTATCAACCAATTTAACCTTCAAACGTATTTTATATTGAATGTTAAAAGATAAGGGACTCACAAGAGTTTAGAATATGAGTGGGCTACTTCTCCAATTAGTTTTGAGATTGAACCTCATGGATATTGACATAGTATCGGAGCCAAAAAACTAAAACGAGCAGTTGGGATCTGGCCAAGATTAATTGGTGAACCACGCATCATCTGGTTGGTATGATAAGGATCCCACGTTGAAATTAGTATTTTTCAATGTGGGATCCTTAGCTAACAATGATTTATAATATAAGTGGACTACTCTCCTCTCATTGTCAAAATGAGATCGGGTCAAAAAATAGATGAGATAAGTATTTTTCCATCATATTCAAAGAAATCATGTGAGGTAAAAAAACTATTAACATTTGAAAAAAGGGGAGAAGTGTTAAAGATTTAACCAACTTATACAGACTAAAATCATATGTGTTAGATTGAAACCAATTAGCACACGTGTAAACGATAAAGATTAAGATGGTAACCCTTACATACTTGATAAACCCTTTTTTTAAAAAATTTTCATATTTTAAAGGTTTAAATATTAGTTTTGTCCATGGTTGAAGTATAATAAATGACTATTAGTTCCTACTTTCAAAACATATGTTTTGATCATTGAACTTTAAAAAGTGACATTTTTGGTCTCTGTTTGCAAAAGTTTAACACAGATTTTATACACAATAGAAATCCTTTAATACAGATTTATGACTATCTTTTAAAAGATTTAGTAAGTGAAGCATCATGTTAAAATTTTAATTGAAAAATGGAACAAAAATAAAAATGAAGGAACAAAAAATGTCACTTTCTAAAAAGTACAGAATCAAAACAAGCGTGCGTTTCGAAAGTAAATGGACTAAAATGAACAAAAGTTGAAAGAATAAAGACCAGAATAGACGTTTTGGAAGTTCTGTGACCAAAATGAATCGGGGCAAAAAAAATACAGCAACCAAAATAGTATTTAAACCTACTTTAAACCAAGATTCGAGAACATTGTGAATAAATAAACAAAATGGTTAGCAAATACATTCCTTCTGAACTACTTCAAATTCTTATGAATTTTCTATGGTATTTTACAGCCTGCATATTGACATTTGTGAGGTTCTTTCCAAACATCAAGGCGAAACATGATTATGGAATGGTGATAGGCATTTTAACATTCTCTTTGGTGTCCATATCTGAGCTTCAAGATGACCAAATCTTTGAGCTTCTTCAGAAGAGAGTTTCCACAATCTTCATTGGTGTCTCTGTTTGTGTGGTCATTTCCATTTTGATTTCCCCAGTTTGGGCTGGTCAAGATCTCCACAATCGCATTGCTCTCAACATTGAAAACTTAGCCATTTTCTTGGAAGGTATATATATATATCTAAATATTTTATATCTAGTCTCAACTCTAGGTTTTAGTTACATCAATTATAGGGGCTCTTTTGCAAAAGTAGCATATATTTAACCTAAATATGATTGCATATTTATCCTATGATAATCCTATGATAAAATATTTTGCAAAGGTAACACAAATGCAAGACCTCGTGTATCAGTGATATATGTATATTACCAATATTATGTATATCAATGTTATATTTTATCAATGATATAAAAATGGTATATCAATCATATACTTTATATTAGTATAACAGTGAGAGTTTACATACAAAAATAGTATATATAAAAAAAATAATGTAATGATAGAGAATGTCATTTCACTTGACAATTTTTTACCTGATTTTTCCTATTGTTGAAGTTATTTAAAATCATATTAATGTATATTGCGAGACACTCAAATCGAATACCTAAAGTTGAAAGATCAATTATTTAAACAAACTAATACCAAACTATATCAGGTCATTGTCTTTTGTTTTTGTTTTTGTTTGTGTTCGTGTTTGTGTTTGTGTTGTATACAACTACTCAAGGAAGATATTGCAAATATTCCACAGGATTTGGAGCTGAATACTTCAAAACTTTACAAGATAGAGAGGCTAAAGATGAAAAGTTTACTCAAGCATATAAAAGTATTCTCAAATCAAGTGGCATTGAAGAGACATTGGTATATGCCTCTCTCTTTCTCTCTCATTTATGATAATAATTTCGAATAGAAAAATACTTTAAAATACTTACTAGGCAGAACTCATGCATATTTTTCTGATTACCATTAATTAATTTTTGATAAGTACGATAGAAGAAATACAAACAAATAAAATAGATTTTTCTCTTCCTACTTTTCAAAAAATTATAAAGTTGTTAAAGTAGGAATATAGGAGCTGACTAGTAAGCATCTAAATATTGTTCGTTGCACATTTTACAGTATAACTTTGCGAGGTGGGAGCCGGGCCATGGATGTTTTCAGTTTCGTCATCCATGGAAGCAATACCTTAAAATCGGAACCCTAACTCATGAATGTGCCTATAGAATTGATGCCCTTCATCGCAATCTCTCTGCTTCTAACATCCAAGTAATGATGTCTTCTCATAATTAAGTAATTTGTTCTTACTTAAAATAGAGTCTTGTACTTATTTATTTTATTTATGCATCTCGACTTTCAAATGTTTTATTTTAGTTTTGGTGGGGAGGATTCTAATTTTAGGGTTAAATTTTGTTAAAAGAAAACAAATTAGTCTCGAGTACACATTCTGTCATTTGTTATTTATTTATTATTATTATTTTTTTTTTTTGGTGTAAATTAACCTCAAACTAATGATGGAGATTTTTTAGAGAATAATAATAATAACTTAAACCTCATGGTACTTGAACCTTAAAAATCTTCTAGACTACACTTTCAAAATATTCATTTTATGCTTGAATATTTGAGAGTTATTCATTTTAGAATTTAAAATTTCAAAATGTGTATTATATTCATTGAACTTCAAGAAAATATTAATTTTTTTTTATCCTAAATCTTTATTTTTCTTTTTAACAAATGGATAATGTGATTTTAAGTATGATGTGTTGATGTGAGCATGTAACCGAGTCATGTAAGATAGTTTAGATAAGGTAAAGTACTAGGTAAGTAGATATTTAGATGGTAAAATAATATAACAAGGATCAAAATGAATTAAAATAGATATTCCGAAGGCTTATGACCCAAAATGGTTACATTTTAAAAATTGAGTGACTAAAACATAACATAACAAAAGTTTATAGCCTAAAATGAGATTTATACTGAGATTTAAATGATTACATTTTAACCTTAATCCTCCCTTCTTTCCACCAAAAGGGTTTCTCAAAGAATCACCATTACCTATTGCAGGTTTCACAAGAAATTATTCGAACAGAAATCACAGAACCATGCATTGAGATGAGCATTGAATCAGGGAAAGCCCTGAGGCAGCTGGTTTCCTCCATAAGGGAAATGACTCGCCCAACTAAATCAGAAATCCACATACACAACTCAAAAGCAGCTGCCAAAAAGCTCAGAACTTCCCTAAGATCGTCACGCTTGTGGGAAGATTGTGATCTCTTGACACTCATTCCCGCCGCCACCACCGGATCGCTGCTTGTCGACGTCGTCGAGTGTTCCGAGAAAATAGCCGAAGCCGTTCAAGAACTTGCTTCTTTGGCCCATTTCAAGACCGTGGTGTCGTTAGAGAAATCAGAGGCATCAGCACATATTATTGAAGTTGAAAAAGGGCAGCCCAAGAATGGTATTTCTTTTGTTACAATACCAATTAGTGGTGGGTGAAGTTTAGAGTTGTAATTAGATGAAATGAAACGACTAACATTAGTCACAGCTTTGGATTTTCTGATTGTAGCAAGCTGGGATTGATGTTGTTGTTGATCTCTCCTAAAGAGCCTATTTTGGGTAGTTTATTGAAGTAATCCAAAATAACATTACTTATTAGTTTGGTTGCAGAAGTACATTGTTGTGATAGAAGGTAATATCTCCATTAATATAAGATCTTTTGAGTGTGATGAGAAAAAAATATAGATCAATCAATCATTCTGTAAGTTATTCTTCAAACATGAACTATTTAATTTTTCTCATCCCCTAGCTAAAATTAGATAAGTAACGTAACAAATAAATAAGAGATAGAGATAGAAAAGCTTAACACTACAAGGATTATACTAGATCGCCCCAATCTTGAAACTGTGTGTCGAGTCTTTGGAAAACAGATTTATTATAGTTGGGAATATTACAAAGGAGATCTCACTCAAGATATCACTATACAGTAACTATCTTGCTTTTAAATACCCTAACGATAGCTACCTAGGATTACACAATTGAAAACATCATCATTAATATTAATATTCATTGAGTTTCATCTCAAAACTAATGGACAATGAGAAGAATAGTCAATGTCTATTATAAACCCTTGTTAAGTCCCTTATCTTATCCTATCAACGTAGGATCCTTAACACGCCCCCTCAAGATCGTGGCTCTTTTGGCTCATCGATCTTGGCAAATCCTATTTTTAGATCGGTTGTTCGTTTGAGCTTGTTGGACTCTGATACCATATTAATATTCATGGGAGTTCCATCTCAAAACCAATTGGCAACAAGAAGTAGCTCATGTCTATTATAAATCCTTGTTAAGTCTCTTATCTTATCTTCTTAATATGGGATCCTTAACAATTAAACCCACGAGATATAGACTCATTTCCAGACATTGACCACAACCACTCAAGTCTTTTCTTTTGATTATGTATAAATAAAACATTAACAAAGAGGTTACATTTATAGGAAGTCAAATATCGTCATAATCCTTATCAGAAAGCAATATCCTACGCCTTGTAGGAAATCGTGGAGTGATACCAAAAACAAAGCGCCACGGGGAGTTTATATCAAAAGATGGTACAAGGTTGATTTATACAGACACGAGAAGACACCAAAAAGGAAATAAAAAAGATTTCAAAAATATTAATAGAGATTATGCTATCATAAGGAAATGTTTTGGATATCAAAACTTTCCTAAACAACCCAAAATAAAGACTAGCCGTTGGAATACTATGGAATGGAAAGTAAGCCAGCTGTAAGGCTTTTAATGAATTTAAAACTTGGTCAATGGATAATTATGGAGCATTTTGGTAGCTGCTATTGGTTTGGTGTTTTTCATGACATGTGTTAGACCAATGAGCTTGTTTAATGTCTTTATAAGGTGAGTCTAAACTCACGTCATTTTAGTTTTAGAGTCAATCCAAAAAAATCCAAAAAATCTCGTACCAATTGATTTTAATTATTGAATTATATATGTGAGATCTTGTTCCTATTCTCACTAATCAACATTGGACTATGTTTCCAAAGCAAAAAGTCCTTCCTCAGACAAAAAGGCACCATCAAGTATTGCCCTTGAATAGCCCATTCGTAAGCATATTGAGAGCTTGCTTTTATCTTGAATTGTTAGCTCCTTTCTCTCGTAGCATATTGTGTATGGTCTTAATAAGGCTCAATCAAATATTATTAATATTCATGGGGTTTCCTTTCAAAATCAATAGGTAAGTAACCAATTTTCAACGTGTGATCTTTAACATGCCTCTTCAAGATGATATCAATATTTATGGGATTTTATCTCAAAACCAATTGGCAATGAGAAGAGTAGTCCATTCTATTATAAATCTTTGCTAGGTCCCTTAAATGTGGCTCTTTTGGCTCATCGATCTTGGCGGATTCCTATTTTTGGACTAGATGCTTATTTGAATGTTTGGGGCTCTGATACCATATTTATATTCATGGGGTTCCATCTCAAAACCAATTGGATTTGAGATGTAACCTCGTAAATATTAATATGGTATCACAGTAGGAGGTCCTATGTTTGAACCCCTGTATTGTCATTTCCTCCTAATTTATTATTCATTTCCACTGATGGGGTCTTGTGTTAAGATATCAAATAAGTGAATTAAATTTATCAAATTCATCAATTTAAGTAATTAAAGTTTTGTTATTAGATCAATCTAAGGCGACATGTGTCCAGCCCCAATCGAATGACATGGATGAGGCTAAAGAGAAACGAGCGGAGGGAAACTCAATCGAGAGAGATTTTCTCGCTGGTGGGGAAGTCACCAATAATGGTGGAAATGGGAAAACCTCCCCAATTTCCACCATGGTGGGGAGTGGGAGGTTAATTTCCCATTATTTTTTTATGTAATTTAATTAAAACATTTTTAATTAAATTAATAATTAATTTAATTTAATTTAATTAATTAAAAAAAGAAATATTAATTAAATTTAATTTAATCAAATCAACCTATCCCATTAATTAAATTAAATTAAACGTATATTAATCAACTATATTAGAATAAAATTATAATATTCATCTCCCTTATAATTTTGAATCCAATTCAAAATCAACTTTATATTATAATGTAAACATACATTATATTAATTGCATCTCATTCAATTAACTTTAATTCTCTTTAACAAATTTGAACAATTCAAATTCTTTTTAAGACTAAATATTCTTAACTATCCTTTATGAGCTAGCGGGGGGACCTAATGGACCTACAGATCGGAAGCTCCAACGATACGAGATTAATTGATTAAACTCATTAACCATATTAATCAATATTCGTTAACTGTCGGTCACTCCACTAAAGACCCACAGTTGCACTCTTCTCACTGTAGAATATTTTGCATCCATGGATTTTGACCATTAACGGTAAGTTAATCCTTCACGAGTGTTCGTGACCACAGTTGGGTCAAAGTATCGTTTTACCCCTGTGTTACATCTTGTACCTTAAGTACCGCTGATCCTCTAATGAACAACCCGGTTATGGTCCAACCAATAACCGGAAGTCTCTCTCGGGCCAGTGAGAGGGTGGGGCCCCTTGTTCAAGTCCCGGAGTCACCACTCAAGAGAACATTTATCTACTTACCCTAAAGTCGGGAAGGAGTGAATTCCATCTTGTGTGGTTATGTTCCCAGCTGCCCACCCGGTCTCGCCCCCAAAATGGTAGGCATATTGAGTCGGCGACTCGAGCCACTCTCACCCATACAAATCAAAGGACGAGCTCTAACAGGCAGGAGTCTATAACTCACTCAGGATTGAGATTGAGTTACCTGGTCATCTTATTGAAATATTAATCTATTAGCTAACGGTGTTACAACTAAAGATTAATTATTTTGTGGTCCGGTCTTATACAAACTCATTGTATAGGAAACCCTCACTCGCATTTCTCCACACGAATGACTTGGATCAAGTCATTTGTAACTATTACAAAGTGTGCCATATCCATAGTGTTACCAGGATAAGGTACCTAACCTTATACATATACTATAGACCCTTTAGGTTACTACTGAAACATTATCCACCTGTATATCGAATATATACTATATATATATACTATATATCAAATATATACGATATATATTAAATATATACTATATATCTGTTATATATTGTTCCAGTTACATCACATAACCTAGGATGTTAGTTTATTGGATCTGGGTTGATGCAATTTTATCAATAACAACTTTATTGAATGAATATTTGTTTTATGTTTACAAACCACTAGTTTAGGACATAAAACCCAACAGGTTGTCCGTATGAGAGACAGTCGGCACCTAGGGCACTAACCCTCTCTGCCTAAATCATAGTACACTCTTGAGCATTACATAGGACATCTTCGTGTCCTCTCTGTGGCTCATAGAAGGAATGAGGATAATGCTAGTTGTTCCCACGAACTCTCTCTCCCTCCCTCCCTCTCTCTCTCTGGAACTAACAGTCATGACTCTATCTATCTAAATGGAACTAATAGTCATGATGTATAATAGCTTAGCATATTGATAACTTTCCAAAAGATAGTTATTCTAGTGTCTATTTTGGTGATTTTATGCAAAGAATTGTCGAAGTGTGTCGGTTTTAGCTCTTAAATAGCATAGATAAGATTAGAAAACGGGAATCCGAGCTAAAAGTCCCTGGTCTTGAATGATTTGGCTAAATATTGCGCTAAATGCTCTTATTTCGAGTTTAAATGCATAAGTTTGAAAAAGGAAGATAAAGCATGAAGAGACTGCTGAGCCTAGAGAAGAGCGGTTGAAGCATGATCAAGATAGAGCAAATGAAAGCTGGAGCGAAGCAGAGCTGGAACATGGAATTACTGCGCAATAACAGCCCAGATACTGGAATTTACCATGTTCGTACAATCTTCAGCTGGGTGCCCTAAAAACGAGACCCGATATAAAAGGGACATGTTGCCCTAGCCACTAGACACAGATCCCAATAGAAGCACGTTTTTTAGAACTGAAACGACAAGGAGGAGGATTCTCTCCATTTTCGGGGGCAGAAAGCTGACGACAGAAAGGGATATTCCACTACTGTATGGAGCTGTCATCTTCTTCTTTGGTTTTTTCTGCTATTTCCGTGAGATGCGTTGTCTTCTTCCTTTACCCACTGTATTTTCTTCTTCTGAGCTAAACCCCATTTCGGTGGAGATTCATATGTTGTAAATGATGAATGACCAACCCTTAGCTACTCCATTTGTTTTTAAATAAAGCTGTGTTTATTTCTTATATTTTATTGAACATAGTTGGCCGCTTTGTTCTATATTGACCTAGGAGGGTTTACTATTTGCTGATTTGCTTCATTTGTGATTAGTACATTTCTATAGTATTTTGTGGATGTTCAGGAATGGGGTCCCCTAATCATGCCTAGAACTTGTTTTTATTGCTTGGAACTTAGTAACGGGAGTTGTGGGTTTCCATGTTCGGGTGTCTCGGGAGGGAACCAAGTCGAGTTGGGCATTAATGAATGTTTGTAATCTAGAGGGTAGGTTGAGAAGTCTATGAATGTATGTTGAATCTCCCCACTTTTCCATATCTATTAACTCCTCATTTCCGTGTCGGCGTATCTTTGGAGCTTTAGAAAAAAAAGTACCCCCCTACGTAGGTAGGTGGATGGTTGTTGCCGCATTCTGTGTTGTTTCTTCTTCCTGT